ACTTAAATATAGAAGGATAACTCATTTAATAGAATGTTACTTCAAGAAAGGGTATTTTTAAGCCATAGTTGGTGGTCTATTTATAATAATGTACTATAAAATCTCATGTAGTCCCCCAGAGAAATGGAAAGGGACAAGATCTCCTGAGCAAATTGGGAGCAGGGAGGGGGCAGGAGTTAGGAGAAAGTGAGGGGGAGAAGAGGAGGGGAGAGGGTGACATTGAGAATCAGGAAGGATGAGTCAGGGGTAGAATAGAGGAGAGCAAGATAAAAGATACCATAATAAAGGGAGCCATTATAGGTTTAAAGAAAAATCAGGCACTGGAAATGTCCAGAGATATACAAGGATAACACCAACTAACAATCTAAGCAATAGTTGAGAGGCTACCTTAAATGCCCTTCTCTGATAATGCGATTGATGACTACCTTATATGCCATCATAGAGCCTTCATCAAGCAGCTGATGGAAATAGAATAGAAGCAGACACCCACAGCCAAACACTGAGCTGAACTCTGGAATCCGGTTGCACAGAGAGAAGAATGATGAGCAAAGGCGTCAAGACCAGCCTAGAGAATGCCACAGAAACAGCTGACCTGATCAAGGGGAAGCTCATGGGTCCCAGACTGATAGCCGGGGAATGAGCATAGGACTGTTCCAGATGTGGGTGTCAGTGAGGAGGCCTCAGCCATTTATGGTGCCTCTAGTAGTAGATCAGTATTTATCTCTATTATAGAAATGGGCTTTTGGAACCCATTCCACATAGAGGGATACTCTCTCAGCCTAGAATCATGGGGGAGGGCCTAGGCCCTGCTCCAAATGATATGACAGACATTGAAGATTTCCCCATGGAAGTCCTGATATTATTATCTTCTACTTGGTACAATCTACTGATAGAGCTTTCCTCCTGAGTTTCTTTTATAATTTTCACTTATTTTGGTTCATTTTTTACAGTATTTATGTCTCTAGAGAACTCAATTTTCAAATCCTGAATTTTCTTCACTATTCACTTCATCATTTCATTTATACTTTTTCAGTAGTATGCTTCTTGTGAAAGTGCAGAGCTTGGTGCATATATGTTCAACATTGTTATATCTTCTTAGTCTGTTAGTTTCTTAATAGAATGAAGTGTCTTTTATCTCTTCTAATTTGCTTTAGTTTGAACTTTTATTTTGTCAAATATTAGGACATTTGTCCTGGCTTGTTTCTCAGTCCCATTTTCTTGGGATAGTTTGTTCTACACTTTCCATCTTAGGTGGTGACTATCTTTGCAGATGAGAGTTTTTGAAGAGATGGATTTTATTTTATGACCCCTTCAACTAACTATATGTTTTGATTAGGCAGTTGGGGCCATTGGTTTTCAACATTATTATTGAAATATGTGTGTGTGGGTTTGGGTCTTTGTTGTTGTTTTTTGCTGTTTATGTTCTTAGTTTTATCTGATGCTTTCATGGTTACAGCTTTATTTTCTTTCTGTACCTACCCTTTTGGCTATGCTTATTCCTCTCTTTGATACAAAGTATTGCTTCCAGTATTTTCTGTAGGGATGGTTTGGTATGCATTAATTTCTCCAGTCTGTTTACTTCATGGTAAGTTTTCTTCTGTCTTCAACTGTGGCAAATAGTTTTGATGGGTACAGTTGTCTAGGTTGATATCTGTGGACTTTTAGAATTTGGAGTATATGGCTGAAGGCTCTTCTGTCTTTCAAAGGTTCCATTGAGAAGTTAACCTTCATTCTGAGTGGTTTCTCCTTTGTGTCTTATCTCTTGCTACTTTCAATAGCCTCTTTGTTCTCTATATTTAGTGTTTTGACTAAAATATGTCATGGGAACATTCTTTTCTGGTCCTGTCTGTTTGGTGTTCTCTGTGCTTCTTGATTCTGGGTGGGTTTGCCTTTCCATGATTTGGGAAAGTTCTACTATACTTTCAAAGGTCTTGTCTATGCCATTGACTTTGAATGCTTCATCTTCTACACCTGTTGTCCTGGCTAGTTTTATGTGAACTTGACACAAGCTAGAGTTATCTGAAAGGAGAGAACCCTAACTGAGAAAATGCTTCCATAAGATCCAACTGTAAGGTATTTTCTTAGTGATTGATGTGGAAGAGGCCAGCCCATTGTGGGTGGTGCTATCCCTGGGTTGGTGACTCTTGGTTCTAGAAAAAAACAGGCTGAGCAAGCCATGGTGAGCAAGCCAGTAAGCAGCTCCCCTCCATGGCCTTTACATCAGCTCCTGTCTCCAGGTTCTTGCTCTGTTTGAGTTCCTGTCCCAACTTCCTTCAGTAATGAATTATGACGGAAGCAAAATAAACCCTTTCCTCCCCAAGTACCTTTAGGCCATAGTGTTTTGTCGAAGCAGCAAACACTAAGATACCTATAATTAATATATTTGGCCTTTTTTAGTGCTCTAAAGTTTTGCATATACATTTTGTCTTACTTTTTGTATTTTTTCCAACTTTTTTTTTTATTTGAATTAGAAACAGGATTCTTTTACATGACAATCCCAGTTCCCTTGTCCCGCCCGTTCTCCCCTACCACCCCCAACTAAAACCTTATCTGTCACTTATCTTTTCTGCTCCCCCTGGATGGTGAGGCCTTCCATAAGGTGTCATCAGAGTTTTTCATTTCTATCCTTTGGGATAGGGCCTAGTCCCCCCCCCGTGTGTCTTGGCTCAGGGAGTATTCCTCTGTATGGAATGGGCTCCCAAAGTTCATACCTATGTTAGGAATAAATACTGGGCTTCTACAGGAGTTCCCGTAGATTTCTGAAGTTTCCACACAGAAACCCATCTTCCTGGGGTTTGGATCAGTCCCATACTGGTATTCCAGCTATCAAAGTGGGGAGCAAGAGTTCCTGGATGTTCAGGTCAGTTGTTTCTGTGTGTTTCACTAGCCTGGTCTGGACCTCTGTGCTCGTCACTGGTCCTTCTCTGCATCTGGGTTCCAGTTCAGATCAGTGATTAGTTATGGGTGTCTACTTCTACTTCCACAAGCTGCTAGATGAAGGCATATAAGTCAGTCATCAATCTCATAATCAGGGGAGGGCATTTAAGGAAGCCTCTCCTCCGTTGCTGAGATAGTTAGCTGGTATCATCTTTGTAGATCTCTGGACATTTCCCTAGTGCCTGATTTCTCTGTAAACAAAAAATGTCTCCCTCTATTATGATATCTCCAATCATGTTATCATGCATTCTTCCCCTGAATCATACTTTCTGCTCAATCATGTCCTCGGAATTCCTCTTCTTCTCCCTTCTCATTGTCT